CTGACTCAGACCCCATAGAGTGGGAGTGCCATTGAAGCTACGGATGGCTAGTACCTGAGCCTGCACCTACGCGTGCCACAAACGCGCCCCTAGGTGTTAGGCAGTTTTTATATGAGCACAACCCGAATAACGCCTGCCATGCTATGATATGAGTGTCAAAGACATGACCCTAAGCGGCATGAGGATGCTCTCTCTAGACGTATCATCGCTTTTTACAAACGTCCAGGTTACCGAGAAAGTCGATTACATTTGTGAATACGCATTGACAAATCAACTGGAAATAGGAATACTGACAAATGCACTGAAGGAAATATTACTAAGGTGCACATTATATGTGCAGTTCCTTTTTGACAGCCAGTTATACAGACAAATAGACAACGTCGCTATGGGCTCGCCTCTTGGACCTCTCCTAGCTGACATATTCATGGGCAAGCTGGAGAAATTTCAACTAAGTGATCAAATCCGCAAGTTAAAACACTATGGTCGCTAAGTTGATGACATCCTCGCGATCGCCGCAACCGAAACCGATGTAGACGCACTCTTAAATACTGTCAACCAAGCATATCGGTCCATTAAGTTCACGTTGGAGGTGGAGACGGCAAGTTCGCTTCCCTTCTTGGACGTCCTTCTAAGTCGCAGACCTGACGGTAGCGTCCGAAGGAGCGTTTATAGAAAGAAAACCTGGTCTGGACAGTACGCGAATTTTAACAGTTTTGTAACCCTTCAACAGAAGCAAAATCTAATTTGCTGCTTAGTGCAAAGAGCTAGAAAAATTTGCTCAGTAGATAGTATTGAGGAAGAGCTCAAGAAAATGCAGGACCTAAATCGCAAGGACAGGTATCCTGAGATTTATTACAAGGAATATGACTGCGAGACAAATAAAACCCACCGCACTTACTACGGAAAAGAAAACACTATTTCTCAGAATCCATTTTCGAGGGGACGCGGCAACTGAACTGCTAAAAAGACCCCTTGGCCAAGCCCTTTGACGAACCTTCCCAGCAGCCAGAGTTCGGGTATTATTCTCAACCAACCCAATCTT